CTCCAGCTTGCCAGGTAAGTGTGGTAAGTTTTCAAATATTTCCTTTCAGATGTCAAAGCTCTGGTCTCTTCTAATCTTAGTTTTTCTACTGTCCTTAACTGAATCTCTCAGGGAGGTGAAAATTACAGCTCTTTCTTATCTCGTCTCTAGGAATTCTCTCTCTTCTTTAGGTGTAGCCCTTGGTAGTCATAATTCATACTGATGTTGCATTGACTCTCCCTTGCTCTGGAGGGCTTAACCCTTTGGCCCTCCTCTTAGCAATGCATCAGCTGGTCAAAAAAAAAAAAAAAAGAGATGTCTGCAGCATCCAAAAGCTCAAGAGTTCTTATTGCAGCAGAAAAAAAAAAAAAAGATGAGGTGTCTTGCAAGGACACATGCTCTCCCTAAAAGTAAAGCAGAAAGGTTGCAAAAAACCTTAGCAGAAACAAGTGCTTCAGACACATTATCCACACTTCTCAAACTCAAAGTGTAAGGTGTGGAATTTTGAGGAAAGACCCATACAGTAGTTTTCCCAAGTCTGTGCATTTTTTCGTAGTTTTCTTGTCAGTGATTTCAGCCTTCCTTACCTGGAGACAAGCATTTATGTCAATTGTTTGTCCCATTGAGGTCTAATTTGCAGGAAAGTGCCCCCATTAATCCATACTTTAGATACACATTTGGGGCTTAGGTACTCATATTCAAACCAAAAACACTAAGGAAAGGTTAAGCAAAGCCTGGTGATAAGATGCACCTGAAGGAAGTTAACATGTTATTGACTTAAAGGTTCACAATTAAACATTACAAAGCCAATACTACATAGTTTCAATACAAGCAGCAATAGGAAAACAGTAACTCTAAGGGTTAATCCTGCAAATCCCTCAAGTCAAAGTCTTTAAAAAGATTTTCAAGAGAACATTTTGAAAAAAAACCAAGCCCACATCTAGAAACTCCACAGTTCCCATCTAAAGTAAACCCTATTGAGTTTTTCATACATCTCTAAAAGCTGACTGCTGCTTTACAGCAATTGGCAGAATACACACTAATTAAAAAGAAAATTATCTTGGTTAGATTTGGTCATTTTGCTGGGAAACCTTTCAAGTAATTTCCAACATCAAAATTTACAAAGAGTTATGCTGGTGTTTTTCAAGTTCCTGATACATCCTAGATGAAATTACAATACTGAATGATTCCTGATGAATTTTTTTAAGATAAGGAAGTGCAGGAAAAATGCATGTGAAGTGTTCACAGAAGCAATTACATTTTGGTAGCCCTGCTATCCAAGCTTACTTGCAGAAGTTCACTGAAAATCAAAACAAGAAATAAAGATTCCCCTCTATGCAAAATTCTTGGAAGGATCATCTTTAGACAGGGATTGCCATTTCTTTTTCATCCAACTTTTTTGCCAGTTTTCAGCCAACTTCTGACCTGCTAAGCACAGAACTAAATTCATAAGGCTTCAGAAAACTGATTCTTATCTGCTGCCATTAAAGCAGCATCAGAGGGAGTCTCCCGAAGGGACAAGGTCTACATAAATGACCACCAGTGAAATCTGTAGTTCCCTGTCTGCCAAGTTCTCAAACTACAGACAAAAGCTGCGTCAAAAAGCTTCTCTCTCTCCACACAGCCTTTAAGCTCACTGCAGCTGAAGATTTGCTTGCTTTCAAAGGAATGAAGTGATTCACCGACTGCATATTCTGCTTATAAAACAGCTTCCACAGAAAGTCACGTTTATGCTATTTTTAAGTCCTGCTAATCTAGTGTTAAATTTTACAGAAGAAAATTGCAGGTTGACCTTTTCCAGCTGATCAGACTTACTGGCATTTATTAACTTCCAAATCCTCACCATTTTTCTCAAGTGTACTAATAAAATTTAGAAACCTCGTCTAAAAATGAATGATGCGTCTTGCGCAAAAAAAGAGCGCCTTGTGTGGATACTTACATACATGATGTGCCAGACATAGTTCTTCCAACTTACTTAAAAAAAGACAAAACACCCCACAGTAAAATCTTTACTTCAAAAATCAATAATAAAACTCCCATTGATTTCACTGTGACCAAATTTTCAGTTATGTGCCATGGACAGAAATATCTCGTTAATTTGCCCCCAGTAAGACAAACCAAAATTAGTTTAACTCTAAGCTTTTTTCCACCCATACAGCTCTCATCCAGAACGTATCATAGACATACTTAACTCCAGAGGTTTCAGATTTTTTTAAAAACACATTAGAAAAAATTCATGAACAATTCTGCATTTGTTTTGCTACTCCCTTCACGCAGATAAGAAGTTCTTCATAAAACAGCCATCAGTACTTTCCCTCTCCATTACAGCTGATCTGCAAAAATATTTGTTACTATACTATGGGAAACAGTCATCAATTTTAATCCTAAATTACTTTAACTCCCAATACCTATTTAGGTTTTTTTTTGTTCTTCCTACAAAACCCCCCAAAATGGAAAAAAGACATGAAATCATATTATATTGAAGGTTTTATTGATGGCTAAATTGCTGTCACTTAAATCAGGCATAACACTTTAATTCTTATCTAACAGGACTAAAAAGAAACTGGCTATTAAAGATTTACTTCTGTAAGCCTTTAAGTTGCCAAAGACATACTGTTCTGCACAACTTTTATGCTGCCAGCAAATGACAGCATTCTAGCCGCATAGCTTACATTGGATGCTTTAGTATACAGCAGAGTGATCTTAAATTTTATCACTTTCACCAGTTACACTTTTTTGAATTATGTTACAAACAAAAAACATTCTCTTACTTCTCTGCAATTATGTACAGTATAAAACAAAACCCAAGGTTTGTGATAGAAATGTGTATGATTTGATCATTTACAGAAGACATCAAATTTTATGAAGTAAATGACAATAATTATTTTATGAGATTAGACTCCTGTTCAGGACTACTTCAACTGACATTGCAGTGTGACACTTTCCAAAAGCATGGGAAAATACATCCAATGGACCAGATCCTCCTCTTTTGCTCCATCTTATGACTTACATGGACAAATCTAATGTCACTGTGAATCCTACATGATCAGATATACGTGTATCACAACTCACTATCTAGGCTTAGCTTGCACTAGAGAAGCACTTAAATGAAATCTGATAATCTTGATATGTCATAAATAATACTTATGGAAGTGCATGTGGTTAATATTCACATTACTGTCAACTGGAAGAAAAAACTGCTGTGAAGAAATGAACATGCAAATCAAATGTTAAAAAATACAATTAAAAAAATCACACTTAGAACTGGGACAGTATACTATAGAGCCAAAAAGGAGAAGTATTATTCCAAACAATAGTGCATGGCCTTTAATTTGCAAACCAAGTCTTTACTTGGGGCACAAAAAGAATGCCCCGGCAACCAGTGCCCCATGCTAGCAGATTCCTGCAGAAGTCCAGGGAAGAAACACAGGTTCTGCAGGAGACTTTCTGATCTCTCTTCAAAGCGATAAACAGTGGAATAAATGTAGTTTTTAAAGGACAGTGCTAGCACAGAGAAGATGTGGTAGAACTGAGAGCCAAACCCTCTAATTTTCCCGTCCTGATTCCAAAGTATCAAAAGAAATTGACAAAAAACCCAAAACAAATAGAAAACACAACAATCCCAGCCCTTTTCAAGTAAGTTATTCCTCTCAACTCTGGTTTCCTACAGAGGATTTCACTGTGAGCAAGAAAATTCTGTGTAACACCAATGCTTCATCAATTTCTGAAATGAAGCATTATGCATACTTTATAGTGCTGCTAAGCCACAATCTGTTTTTTCCCCCCTTATGTTAAAATGGAAAAAGCTGTAATAAGGATCTAGAAAAATTCAAATTATCCAAATACAAGATTTTATCCCACTTGTAAATACCAAATACTCCCCTCCCTTTTTTGTGAGGATATTTCAGACAATAGCCGTCAACCAAAATTCAGTTATTTATGCAGCATGGGCTCCCTTAAAACAACATTGTCAAACATTCAAATTATAAACACAAGACCTCCTGTGCATCATAAAAGACAGGACAAAAATTCTCATAATATAAACAACACTTAGTTTTACTAGTTTTTTGTAAGTTACATTGCAAGTCACTCATTTCTCCAACATAAATCCCAGATTTGAAAGAAGTCAGACTGTCAGAGAATAGAAATAATTATTGTGACCTGCTTACTATCAATGCTGTGGCCACAGAACAATTCTTAGCATCTACCCAGCAGGACACTCGTCGCTGCAGCTATTAACACCACTAGCAAAGTTGCCAACAACTGAACAGCTCAATGACTGAATGACTTGCTTTTCTCCCTCCCCCACACGAAGAGAAAGTGCTTTACAGCAGCACAGACATCACAGATAAGCTGTAGCAAGGAGTCTTACATGTTTACTGCTTGTTATGTGGCTGTTTGTCAACACAGTGAAAGATTTGTCTCTTCAGGAGCACAAATTATCTTTCAGTAATAGTTTGTTTATTTATTTTCAATTCCTTCATAAGATCACAGGGAGACAGCAACATGTAAAATTAAGGCCGAAATGACTTAAGAGTTTTTCCTCTTAGAGCTCAGTTTTAAGAGTTTGCTGTACTCTAACATCACATATGCTTTGGATAACTGCAAAAAAAAAACAACAGGTGATTTGCAAAAAGTCAATTGGTCTTAACCCCATAGCAACTGTGAACAATATGATCTGACGGTGGTCCTTGGTATAGAAGGTCCACTCAAAGTGAGTGAAGATGAGTAGCTGCATATGAAAGCTTTCCTAGGGAAACAAACACTTTGAAGATCCCTTTCATTCAATAACACAGCACTGGCAATGCTCAGTGGTTGTGTTTATAAAGCAAATTACATTATTATTATGTTGTCCTGCTTCTTTTTTGATTACTACTCTAACTTAGTATATATACTGTTCCATTACAGTATATACTTAGCATATGTACAGTAAAAAATACTGGTCTAAAATCTGAAAATGTCACTCAAGAAATGACAGCAGATGGCTTCTATGCATAAATTTGCAATTAACTTTTGGATTCAAGCAAGGGTCTTTCAGAAAACCTGGCTTATCAAAATATTTTTAGACTTGCACTCAATAGATTCATATGAAGAAGTAACCACCTGCACATCTATCCTTTTCATGAACTATACATGCTCAAAGAGAAAGTTAACAGCTGCAACTGGTTTGCTGGGATCACACCAGAAAAAAGACAAAAGGAAAGAGAAATAAAATTTATTATAAAACATGTTGAAATAGCAATGACTTAGCTGACTTCCTGCTCTGCTGCTCTCGGCAGAACACAATATGACTGAATGCTCTCAGGAAAGCCAAACCAAAATTACAGCATAAGTATGTTGCCACACTAAAATCGCTTTCTCTTGATAATTTCTGGTTTCCAGCTGACAGGATGAGTTTCTTCCGTCTAAAGAGGAAAAAAGAAAAAATCTCATAAGGATTATTTTTAACTCAAAATGCACCTGTAATTAGGGTTTAGTTTCGAATATTACTCACATAGTATATATCTCTATTTTGTATGTAACATTTTAATTACCTAATCTATGTAATTCATTTATCAAAATAAAATTTTATATCATCCCACTGTCTGAAGTACAGGACTTGTTCTGTTTGCGGTTTTTTTGCAATAGGGACAAAAATGAGGTTGCCAATGGCATTTCAGAAACACTGTAGTGATCAAAGCACAGGAACAGGAATTCCAGAGACAGTCCTTCCAGTGATACCTACATCAGTCTCACCAGACGTCACAGTTTACAGTTTGCCCAGCTGCAAATTGGGCAAAACATTCCATATTCCTTTATCTCAGAGTTGCTCCAAGTCTAATATAATGCAAAAATCCCAAGGTTTACTAAAAATCCTTATATTCTTTATATTGAAGACATACTCTGATAAACTACACAATAATCTATTGTCTTCTCCATTAGTAAATTGATTCAGATTTCAGAGTAACAGTTTGAAAATAAGCTATTTACTCTGAATTTTAAAAATTGTCACAGCAAATGACTAATCTAGATCATATGCAGAAGTATACTACATCTTTAAAATTTAATCTTTTTGCTAAATCTTTGTTAATTATTTTTGCTGTTTTAATGAATACAACCACACACAGTCCCCTACTGGCTTCAAAACACAGTATGCATTATTGTATTAAGATTTCTCCAAACTGTATCACCAAGGACATTTGCAGAAGAGTTGATGAACCTGAGACTTATCTGTACTACAACATATAGTAAGAAATTAGGAGTGCAGAAACTAGCTGCCGTCCTCTTAACATTATTACATATAAATTGCTTTCAAGCATTAATAAAAAAGATTACACAAGTCTGTGCACAACTCATTGATATGTGTAACATTTGTTTGAAATATGTTGATTTCATGAAAATACATTAAAAAGACACTTTGACATACCGCAGTATCATCTTCTTTGTATACTTTTATGGTTTTGTCAGCTTCAGCAGTTAGCAATCTGCTTTCTGACTGGTCAAAAACACAAGCGAATATTCCTGATTCACTGTCCAAAGAGCCTGGCTGTACAGCTGCATGTACTCTCTGGAAATTGTAACCAGTTCTCCAGTCCCAAAGATGCATTGTACCATTATCAGCTAAAACAAACATACATACATATTTAGTATTTTAACCACTTAATTTCTATCAGGTTTTTAAAACTAGTATCATGAACAGTCTACTAAAAGTTTCTCTGCAGCTGCCAGCTAGACAAGAAATCCAGATGTTTTGAGAAAGGTGCTTCAACAGTAAAATACTCTAAGGTAACCTCAACTACCTCAACTTATTTTAATTCAGCATCAACTTCTCTGAAGTTGCTGTAGATAGCATGAGGATGTAAAGGGGAAGGAAAATCAATATTCAAATGTTAATTTCTAAAAAACCTCACAAATATCATCACTAAAATGACAGGGGGGGTTATGTGGAGAAGGAACAGGTTTTTCTAAAGCCTCAACTTCTACTAACACAAAAATGTCCTACAAAGATATTCTAGAATAAGAGTCTTCAAAATAATACAGCATGAAATATAAGCCCAATCCAGTATTTTGTAAAGTTCTTGTTCTTACTATGAATGTGCCAGTTGTCAAATAGAGCTTTATCCAAATTTTAAAATCCAGGGCTGCCTTTATAAATATTTAGAAACATAACCAAGGTTAGCTGACAATATGATTAGCTATCCTCCAACTCCTGCTTGGCAAATTTCCATTTTACTCCACAACCCTAACCTACATGACATACTGTATCAAACAGGACCAAGAGCACATGGGACCAAATGTGACTAAACACATTTCAGTATTTCAAAGTGCAACTTAACTGTTATTTTTTGTTATGGACTGGTGACAGATACAGAAATGTGTTTCATAAGTATCTGCTTCTGCAAACTCATGGAACTGATCTTAAACTGTTCTATCACTTGTGATCCTGTGAATTGAGTCACATCCTTGTTTACAACTACCCAAAAGATGAGACAAGCAAAAACAAGAGGTGAAAACTCAGTCTCTGCAAGTTACGTGGAACGACACAGTCTAGCCTTTTAATTCACTTTCCTCTGACTGCTAGAGCTCTCCCAGGACAATCTTGTGATTAAGCAACTGGTCTAGACCCTCAGAGATTTGGGTTTCACCTCCTGCTTTACATCTGGTTTCCCATGCAATCTTGGACTCTTTCTCTAGAGCTCTGCTCTCAAACAGTAAAATTAGCACTTCCTTTTTCCACATTATTTACTCATTTCTTGTTTACAAGAGCATCTACATTAAAAACACACTTACCATCTCCGTCCTATGGAGACACAATGCCTTAAAAAAAGATCTGAATTCAATTAGGATTTGTACAATCTACTTTCACAGAAGCTTGTCACTAAAAAAGGTCTACACATGTACTTTGTCTAGTACAAACATAGAACTCTCAGAATCATCATAGATTATGGTTTTAGTAACACATACTCCCACCAAAATATTTTTATTACAGTCCTTGAGTAACTGATATATAGAAAAATGCAACCTGCAATATGAGATAACAACTATTCTTAGATAAACTTATTCACGATCAGATGCAGTAAGCATTCAGGATTCTCCTCCTATTCCCATAACAGATATGTAAACACAAACTAGTAGTTGTCAGACTTTGAGGGCTCAGATCACTAACAGTACTCTAATGTATTAGGTGATTATTAAATTCATGAAGCTTTTGAGTGAAAAAATTAAATCAATGTGTCACAACAGACACAAAATCCTCCCAGAATATATGTAGACACTGGAGCAAGGGGCTAGTTTCTTAATTTCAGAACACTTGAACATTAATATTGCTGACTAAACATGGTTTTGCTCCATAGAGCCAAATTAAATTTGGAGATTAGCTATCAATCTTTTAAACAATACAAAGATAACATCAGAAAATGTGTGCAAGAAACTTTGAGACAACAGAACCAATGCATTTGTGCTGCATCAAAAACAGGGAAGAGTTCACATAGAAGTGGTACAGCAAAGCGTTAGTGAGATGTTTCTACGTCCTCTATCCATTCTCACTGCAGCACTATGTTACTAGAAGCAGCCCACAAAGAGCCAGAAGTCTCCCAGGCAGCTTCCAGTTACCACACCACTCCTAACGAGACACTAATGATTCAGACTCAGGAGATCCTGGAAGATGGACTCTGGAGCCTTGCAGCAGCAGCTAACTAAGAAACCTCTTCCCTGCAGCACATTAAAAGTCCTTTCAAACATTTTTGTGCATGCAGCTCAGAAACATCCAAGAAAATAAGTGGCCTTACTCACTATGAAGTTGTATGCTGTAGCAGGCTTACAGGCCCAGGTAAAGGAGAGCTCAGCAAGCATCTTTGTCTAAAGACCTCCAGCCATGTATACATGGGGGAGCAGAGGGGGAAATATGAACATTTATTTCTCATTTTACCTCCTGAGACCAGGACACCATCGGAATTTACAGCCAGCGTGTTGATAATAGCATTGTGACCAGATAGGTTCTGAATGAAGTTTCCATCTGGGAATTTCCACTGCTTAATATTATCTGGAGAACCAGATGCAAATGTGTAACTGAAAGAAAATAAGCACAGTATATTAAAGTTCAAAACAGCTGTACAGATAGCAAATGCCCTTCATTGAAAGTACCATGAAATGCTAGTTGCCAAGTTACTAAATGCTAAAACTGCTTCTGACATTTTTTACTTTGCACAAAATGAAGCCATTTTATGAAGTCATGAATTACCTGTTTCCTTTCTGTTCCATAGACTACCTAAACTTTATAAATTCTATGCCAAATAGGATGTTAATATGCAAACAAACATTCAAAATGCACATAAATTTATGTCAGCTGTTATTCTGGCAAATATTCAGGTATAAGGGCACCAAAGGTATCAGGGAAAAAATTGGCTAGTCCTCTAAAACTGCACAACCAAGGATAAAGCACTACAAAAAAGGGAACTATCGAAGACAATTTGTTTTGCCAAATTACCTTAAAATAATTAGTTCCCTCATTTTAACATGTGGAAGCAGTTAACAAGGTTATTTGGGTAGCACAAAAAAGCCTGGAGGAATATTTTCAGCTGCCACAAATAGACAGCAAATCACTTAGATGTTAACAGATTATTAGGAAAAATACTGGAATATTAAAAAATAGAAATACTGAAATAAGAGATACTAGGTTGACAGTTGCTACTGCTTGATAAAAACACTTCAAGTTTCTCCCCCCCCTCCAAAGAGGTATGATTGACAAATCAAACCTAGTTTTACTTATATTCTGAAAAAAATTCAGATTTTTCTCTGCTATAGCTAACAGGCATAGCATGAGATTTATATAATTTTTATAATATAATA